AGGACTTGTGTGTTACTTTGGTAAAAAATAGAAACATGTGGTAATAAACATAGATTCTACAGCGTGACTCCCAAGCATATCTCGGAACAGATTGCACTGTATGTAATATTACACTCTTTGAGTTTCTGTTAAAGGTCATGCCTCACGTGCTACGGCAGGCCGTGTGTGAGCATGGAGCAACAAAGTCACAGAGTGACCAATGAACGGCTCTGAGGGACCAACCTGCCAAGAGTCACGACCTGTGTCGCCCTCACAGGGGTCTGGAGGGACTTGTATAGGTTCACTTCAGCTACTATTAGCATAGGAAAGAAATAGAGCACATACAATCAGCTTTACGGCATATCCTTTTGTCAAGACATGAGTTTGTGTTCTGACTACATGTTGCTGATTGCTGATATCCAGAACATATAACGTTATTTTACCGAGATGCCAGAGAAAAGTGTAGGGTAACCCTAATTAATATCTGTCTCTGTCTCGATATAGAAAAAAAAATTCTAGAACCAGTATGGGTGATAGTGTTCCCGATCCGTAATGGATTCAGTCTAATTCTATGCTTTGTACTCTGAGCACCTTCATGCTTTATTTATTTTACGTTATATTTAGAATTTATAATCGTGCTTTCTGAACCATTTGAAAGAAAGTTTGTTATTTTTCACGTTTGACCAAGCTAGCCAACATGTTGTTTTTGTCAGTTTCTTCATTAGTTATTTTACATTGACTGCTCTACTCCTAATTTGACTGATTGAACAAATGAAAGTTGTTTTCACATGTTTGACCAAGCTAGTCAAGCTGTTGCTGTATTTAAGTGAGCTGTAATGGTACAATTATCAAATTAATTTGTAGCTCAGTACAAATGTGTAAGTTCACTTTAAAAAACCTACACATTTTCAGGTAAAAAAAAAGCCAGTCTTTCTGTATTGAATTGCTATCAGCCGATACTAAGCTTCAGATATAAGTATCGGAAGTGAAAAACATGAATCGGTGCGTCCTTGCATGATGAACTTCTTTCCAAGCAGCATACAACCGAGTTACCATGTGATTTGTTACCACCATCATGTCTTATAACTGTGTGACTAAAAGCAACAGCAACCCTACCAGAAAATATAGCGCACCTGTGCTGAGAAATCAGTCAACATAGTGGGACTGAAAAAGCCATTTTATGACTACTTGTTCACATGACAACAGAGGATCAGCACCTCTTGTCTCAGTGAAAGGCTTCAGTTAATGTGAAATGTTAAAAACAGGAAGGCTACCATCAGAAACGATGCAGCTGCCACGTTGGATTCAAAGGCTGGATTTGAAATTTGTGAATATGGCAAAAAAAACAAAAAAAAACGTGTTTAGCTGGCTGAAGCTGGTTGTTGATGCTTAAACCTCAGAGCTCATGTTTTCAGATGCGTAGCCATCTTACTCCTCAATACCATGGTACACTGAGTGAATTTGACTTCCAGACCGATATCTTCACAGGTGAAATAAATGTTCTCTTGTAGAGAAAATACTGACAAGAAAATCTTTGAGCATCAATTTTCACTTTTTAAACAGGAAAAATATCATCCTAGCAGTCGCTTCATCTTTTGATAAATAGGGGCGGGGAAATGACCTGAAAAAAAGAGTTTCTGATTACATACAGTAGAATATTTATGTGCAATTTATCAAGTTCACTGCTAATAACAGAGGTAAAAATGTGATTTGAGTTTTTATTGAATACTTTTAGGAGCTCAGCTATTATGTTTTTGACTATTTTTAAAGACTTTTTTTTTTGTTGCCTGTAGGGATATACCAGTCCACTTTTTTCACTTTTGATACCGATACAGATGTCTAAAGATTAGTATCAGCTGATACGATACATAAACAAAGTTGAATTTACTTAAAATGTTTCTTTAAAAAAAAAAAAAAAAAAAAGCACTTACATAAATGTACTGAATTCTAAATGTATTTGATAACTCTGCACCAGTACAGCACACTTAAATACACCACTTAACTTACAGGAATCACTTCAGTTTCTGTATCTTGAATCTTCATCTATTGGAAGCCAGTAGAAAACAATTCACTGAATGGAGAAATAATCCAGGTTCCCTTTGAGAGCTTACAAAACACAAACCAGCTGAGGCCAAAGGTTAAAGTTCATCTGAAAAAACGTGCAGCCACCAACAGTACAACAAGTAGACAGGTTTGTAATAGGAGTGGGCATTTATAGTGTTATATCATTTCTCATGAAAAAATAACCATGATAAGAATTTTTTATCCAAATGATTAGGAACCAAAACAATCAGCTTTACTCATGCTAACATAATTGATCCTAAAGCAGCACTGCAGAACTTTGATGACTAACCCAAAAGATAATATTTATGATTATTGGTCATTGAAAAGGTTTGATTATTTTCCGATCAGGGAAAGCACCACTCTTCAGAGTGGAAGTTACCAAGTGAAAAAGATCCAGTTTGCCATTTTCAGCGGCAATGAGATGTTAGAGGAAGCAGAGAAGGTGCGAAAAGTTTATGGAATGAAAACTGTGTTTTCTATAGAGAGTTGAGTTAGGTAGTAACTAGTTACATTCACTAGTTACTTTCACTGAATTACATTTACAAGTACATTTTTAGGGGGGGAAAAAAGTACTTTGAGTATTTTTACTATGCTGTACATTTACTTCAGTAATCTTATCATGACATTGCTTCTCTTAATCGAGTAAAATTTCTGGATTCTCTACCCAGTGAATGAGGAACAATCATGTTTTAACCAAAAATTCACCACACAAACCAAGTTGTCGCACCAGACAACTTCCTGATTGGAAGGTTTTTTTTCACTGGAAGAAAATGCTTTAGAAAAAACGTTCCTTTGATTGTTATTTGTTACTTATCTTTATTGTTGACATTTTTGTCCTTAAAATATCAAAACTTCCACTTAACTTTCTATTTTGCTCCAGCTGATAATACCATTTTTAAATATTAAAAGATTGATCATTTGATCAGTTACTCAATAATTGAGTTGACTTTTTACTAAATAGTTTTTTTTTACTTGAGTAATTTCTTGGATGGCTACTTTTTAGTTGTACTCTAGTAAAAAAACATATTGAAGTAGTACTACTTCTACTTGATTACAACTTTTGGGTGCTCTGCCCACCTATTCTATAGAGGCATGTTGGGGAATTTTTTATTCTGGCGACAACAAAAAGGAGTAATTCTTTAGAAAATTAGGGGAAGCTCAAAGTACTACATGAAAGTTGCTCTGTGTAGAGTTCTACTGATCATGGAACACACTAGATTAGAAAATTTTGTCAGTCTTTTAGAAATCTTACTATTATGGTAAACGTCCACCACTTCCATTGGAAAACCAAAGAGAGACTGAATACAATACAAGTCGTTAAAAACCATTTGAAATGAAAGATCTGTAATCATCTTTGTTTTAAAATATTACTGAAATCCTGTTTAACCGTAATGCTGTGTGACTGATTTCACTCTCACACACTCTGTGAGGTCGCCTCAGATCGAAATGTGAATTATTAATGATAACGACTGACAATGACAGAAAAATCTCCTGTGGAGTTACAATAAACGAATGAATAATTTAACATTTTAACACACAACAGTCAATATCCATCAACTTTCTATTCTATACAGGAGGGGAAACAAAGTATTTCTGTGCCATTTATATTTAGTTTTTAAAAAGAGAAAACTGAAATCAGCTGCCACAAGTGATCAGATGAGTGTGTCTCTATTAGCTTATGGCTAAAAGTGCCTACTAATCATTGAGTCTGACATCACAGCTGCTGTGTGCAGATTAATGATTAAAAAAATATCACATTTCATTATGTAGCTTCAGCTGGTGTAATGAAGAAGCCTGTTTCAAATGGGAATGTTTTTCAAGAGCATATTTTGTGTGTTTTTTGGTCTAAGGTTGCTGTGGTAGGCAGCCACATCCACACAGTTAGCTAAAGAAAAAAAAAAACTCTAATAAGTAATAAACTGTTTTTCATACTTTCATTATCACTATAGTACCACAAAATATCAAGATAAAATTTTGAAGTCAACGTCACCCACCTCTTTTTTTGATACATTCATCTAAATCATTGAAAAGGGTTGAAACTTCAATACAAACTTTTTGCTAATAGTAACAAAAGCATAACACTAGTAACAAATATGCCTTGTTTCACTTTTAACGTGATTCAATGTAAACTGAAGAATAATAATAACCCTAGTAGCTCGGATTTTAAAATGCTATCTAGATATTTTGAATGTTTTAAACTTAAGTTTATTTTCTTGCCATACAGGTTCACCTACAACGTGTTTATTTAAGACCACCGAACTGTAATACCAAACTTGGGACGTCTGCTTCTGGGGCTGACGTCACTCAAATGAAACCACATTAACCGCGGTTCTGAGTATTGATACTCAACAAGAAGACACTCCGTTTGCACCGTTTAAAACCGTGAGGCATTTTTTTTCCTGTTAAACTAGAGTTTTCCTTACGACAGTGGTACAGCTGGCTACAAGTTTAACCAGTTTAAAAAGTTTCTGACCAGTTCTTCACTAAACATAACCGCTGTCTACATTACATTACGTTTATTCCATCCATATAGCTGATATCTGCAAACAATACAAGACGGGAACTCCTCACTAAAGTTTAGAGAAGAGTCGTTAACTGTAAGGTTATATCAGAACCAAATGTTAACTATCATTTATTTGGAGATAAAGCAGCGCTACGTTTAATGTGTTTTCACGTGAGCTGCATAGATTTAACACGAAAACGTTCACAAAACAAAATAACCTGCTTAAATGTTGAATATTACATGATAACTTAGTTTGGATAATTGTTTCCCAGGCCTCAATCCATGGAAAGCTCTAAGACAGTCCTCTGGGATCAGTCGGCGGCCTTGTAGCTCAACAGAACTCTACGGAACCACGAAGGACCTGCTTTTATGAAATAAAACTCTTTGCTAACTTATTAATGCATCTCTCGGCGGGGTTTGCGCACTTTTCGCAACAGTTGTCAACTTTTCCTACCTGCACGGAATCAGCAGCCATCTTGGATTCGCCTTTGAATCAAATCCTACGGGGAGAGCAGTGAGGGGCGGTGGGACTCCAAAAACAGGACTTGTTTTAAGTTTCCCTCTCTGGCGACAGAAAGACGGGATTATTTTGGCCAAACCATCGCTCTTCTGGGTAACACGGGGCTTCCCATGCCGTCTTCGCACTTCTTTGACGCGGCCTCGCCGTCCCGATAGAGTCCCAGAGGGTGGACTGGCGCTCAGATGTAAAAAAAAAAAAAAAAAAAAAAAAAAATGCTACGGCAGAAATCTGTCCCACTGTAGCTGGAGAAGGAGAGGCGGTGGTTAGAATGGAAGCGTCCGCCCAGAGGAGCCGTAGTGCTGCGGCAGAGGCTCCCACTGCTGGACTGCTCTGCCCGGACAGTGACGCACGTGATCCACAACTTCCAGCGCACGAGCCTTACCTACTTGCGCTAACCTGCCACCAACCTGAGGAAAACACCAACATGGAAGTTATGAGTAATGAGGTGCTTCAAACTTTCTGACATTAGATTAAATTCTGCTAAACAGTGGAAAGAATAGTCTCATAATAATACTCATAATTTCATCATGAGATAAAAAGCAATAATGAGGATAAAAGTAAGATTTGTTATTGAATAAAACTGGATAAATGATAACTTCAGGAAAAAAAAGTTTAACCCCTAAAATAAAACTGAAGCCTACACCAAAGTTAAGAGCAAAAAAACCTACTGGTTTGACAAATATTTATTAAAGTAGGGAGTTAAGCCGGTCAGAGGCATAAGCAATCTTTGTGCCTGTGTGACAAGTTTGATTTTTCACCTGGGGGTGAAAAATGTAGGCAAAGTTACATTAATAGCATTACAATTTAAAGTTAATTTATTAGTTTCTCCTTGTGAACACATTTCATGGACAACAAAGCTGCTCGTACAGAAATCAGTAAGAGGCATTTTCCACAGCGGCTTAAATTTTGTTTTTTCAACTTGTGGTAAGCAACAGAAAATTAAATCACTCTGAGGTTATCCCTATTTATTCATAAAAGCTGATGCTTTTGTAGCCAAAAAAAATGTGATGGGTGGGGTTCCTGATATCTCAGTATGTTACATGTTAAACAAAAAAATAAAAAAAATGGTTTGATTTTGAAACTGATGCAACACTAATCACAGATGATACAGTGTGGACTGTTTCTGTTGTAAAATAGCCAACAGTTTTGCTGATGCACAGTTTTATGGATTTCTGGATGAAAAACAAACCACTCGACCAAGCTTATTCAGAATTTACAGTACTTCCTGTTGTTCTGCGGTAGCTGCTAGTTTAGAAGATGATCAACATCATCTGGGTTGATCCCACAAATTTATATCATTTGTAAATTCCAAATTGGAAACTGTTGCGAATTGCACTTAAAACTAAGAATAAATAAAAAATGGGTAACACTTTATTTGAAGGGGGTTGAATAAGACTGACATGACACCGTCATAAACACATGTCATGAACATCAATAAGCCTTCATGAATATTTATGACTGTGGTCATAAAGCGTCATTTGGTAAATTATGACACTTTTAATACAAAGTTGACATTATTCAAAATGTCTTTATGACAACTTGACATTAACCAATAAATCATTACTGATATAAATTTGTTATAAAAGTATTACTGATTGCACTTTAAAAATTAGGTAACTTTATGTTATTAAAGGTAAAGTTTAAACAGTAATGATTTCCTGGTTAATGTCACGTTGTCATAACAAAGACATTTTGAATAATGTCAACTTTGTATTAAAAGTGTCATAATTTACCGAATGACGCTTTATAACCACAGTCATAAATATTCATGAAGGCTTATTGATGTTCATGACATGTGTTTATGACGGTGTCATGTCAGTCTTATTCAATCCCCTTCAAATAAAGTGTTACCAAAAAATGTAGTATTTTCAAAACTACACATACATTGTGGTGTGGACAATAGTTTTTCATGTTTCGTCACATTTCAATCACAAACTTTGTGACATTTTATAAGGATCTTATGTGAGACCAACACAAATTAGAGTAGAGTGAACTTAAAGGAAACTAATGAAGCTAATAGCGAAAATTCAACCTGGAAGACTCTATCCCCTCCGTTCGTCCATCGGCGTCATGCTCATCTCCGACCTCAGCGCTGGACCTCACCTGGCGTGTCCAATCATCAATCAAGCTCTGCATAAAAGGATCCACACCCAAGCCGTCGGCCGCTTCCCAGCTGCGTTCAACCCACCACCTCCCCTTCTCCACCCACATCCTTCGGCTCTCCAGGATGGCACCCTTTCCAGACCTCCACCACCAGTGTCGGGCCCCGGGGGAGAGCATCCCTAATCGGTTATCGGGATGTTCATCGAGTTCACATCAAATCTCAGCTCCGATCAGCTGCCGGGGCCCGAGCGCCAAAGAACTGTTATTCATTGCTGTCATTAAACCTTTTAATTGTTCCTTTTTCTTCGTCTGAGTCTTTCCAGATTGAAATACATGGTTATCAAAGTTGTTTTTTGGTTGTTGTTTTTTACAAATAAAAATCTAGAAATTGTGATATTTATTTGTATTTAATCCCTCCTTTCTCTGATAATATCAAATATAGCCGCCTTCAGAAGACAACCAATTAGTGAATAGAGTGCACCGGCGTGTAATTTAACCGTAGTCTAAATACAGCTTTTCTATAAAGACCTCACTAGTTTGTTGTAGAACATATTGGAGAACATGACATGAACACCAACAGCAGCATGAAGACCCAGGAGCACAACAGGCAGGTCAGAAAGAGACAAAGATATAGATGTTAAAAGCACAGGTAGGTTCTAAAATAATATCCACCGCTTTGAGTAGCTGACAAATGAATAATGATGCCGTTATTATGGGAATAATGCGAAACATCCAACACCTGAAGGTAACATACTTGATTGTGTTATGAAAAGGCACTATGTTCCTGAAAAATATATAATACTGCCCTTATAAGTTTATTAGAAATAAAAATCTGTAGTGTGACCTGTTAGAGGATGCGGAAAACTGGAGCTATATATTTAGGCTCAGAGCCAAATCCTCAGCATCCTGTCTGACGGAGCTTTTCATTTCCAATAAAATAACAGAAAATCATCCATTCTTCCAATTCACAACTATGTGGACTGTTTCTTTTTTTCTTGTTCTATCTCATAAAACCAGATTAAAAAGTCATCATAGTTGATGGTTGTCAAGGGACATCATTGAAAAACTTTGAGGGGTGTAAATACCTGAGCTCTGCAAAAGCAGCACATCATAAAATTGTTCCTCATATCCATAATATTTGACTGAGCTTCACTTGGCACCATCAAACGGGTCATAAAATGTACATATTTATTGCAAATTTATGTAATTTAAAGAAAATAAATGTGTTGTACTTGCTGTTGGGTGGGTCATGCTCTGAAAAGCATTCAGTCTGTGTAATAAATTAAAAGCAATGTCATTCTGGATTAATTTAAAAGCCTCATCTATTGCAGCCAGTTTGTAACTTCATACCAATCCCTTGTAATAAATCTTGCAATAAATAGCTGACTGTAATTGAAGCTTCTCCAGAGAAGAAGTGGAGGAAGTGCACTGTTTTTGTTTATTTGGGTCAAAGGGTCAAAACGGGGATGCCGTAACGTGAGAGCGATCTGAGATTATGGGGATGAGTCCAATAGCTGATGATGTCTGTTCAGGGATTATCTGAGAGCAACGAAGAGAACCTCTGATCAGCAGCAGCAGCAGAGGCTCGTATAAACTTCTCCTGACGTGAGCTGACTCGTCTCACATGAACATGGGTCAAATTTAGAGTCCGCCATTCATGATGGATCAGCTACAGCTTCTCTGTGGGGGAATATTCTGCATGTACATAGCGGCAGACCTAACCAGAGTATGAAACGTGTAGAAAATAATCATGTTGAAGATAAAAATCTAAAAATTTATCCATGACAACAGTGGTGCCTGTGGTCATTGGGGCCCCGAGGGCCCCGAGCAGTGGCTCCAGTTTGGGGGTGCCTGGAGCCACTGGCTAAAACAGATCCCAGGAACAACATCAGACATCTCAGTCCAGAAATGTGCAGTTCTAGGCACAGCCAAGATACTGCGCAGAACCCTCAAGCTCCCAGGCCTCTGGTAGAGGACCCGAGCTCAGAGGATGGATGAGTGAGTGAGTGAGAGTGAGAGAGAGACCACCCACGGAGGGTGAGAAGGGAATTTTTTATTTTTTATATATATATATATATATATATATATATATATATATATATATA